GTGAAAATTAATTTTATGTTCAAATGTAGTTTAAGGAATAATTTGATTGATTGAACATAATTAATTTTCAATATATGAGTTACCAAAACCACTAGAGCTAATTAATTTAGCATTTTGAGTGTTTAAAACGGATTTTTGACATTTTTGTGCTTAATTCATCGATTCACTTAACAGTGTATCGATGCATCCCTTTGAATGTGCATCGATTCATCTTGCCGATGCACGCCTTGAATGTGCATCGATGCACAGGGTCATGCATCGATGCATCCGTTGGGTTTTAGGTTAAAAAGGCTTATTTTCTCATTTGTTTCAAAACCTAAAACTAAGCTCTCTTAGCCGTTCGCCTCCTCTCTCTTTCCTACTCTCAAAATTGCTCCAAATCCTTGGTTTTTTATCAGAATCTTCGATATTTTCAACTCCTAATCCTGCTTCAATACATCAATACACCCTTCTCAATCTGAAATTTCAAGGTAAACTTTTCTAAAAACTCATTTTTATCAATTTTCGATCTTAGGGCTAGTTTTGATTAGTTCTAGGATGAACATTATATCGGGCATTGGTTATATGATGATTCTAAACTAGATTTTACAACAAATTTCATCAAAAACACACAATTTTTCAAAATTTTCTTTGAAATTCGAAATTAAAAAAAATATTTTCGAAAATCATTGATGTTTTTGACTTCATTATATTGTTTTTATGAAAACTATATGTATTGCAATATTTCCAATGATATTTTCAAATAGTTTTCAAAACTTTGCCCATTAGGATTGTTTTAGAGAACCTTGATTATTGCAGACTCAATTGAGTTTTGGGATTGATTATTGTGCATACATGTTTTTCAATTTGCAGGTTATCTATTTCTTTCCTTTTTCCAATCTTTAAATCATGTCAAATCTCAAACTTCCTAGGTCCTCTTCGAGTCGGTCAAACCAAAATCATCCTCCCGTTCCTCCACCACAAAATCCAAACAATCCTCAAAAGACCATAATTAGTACATGTTTTAATATGCCTGAATGTCAGAGAGAAGAATTGTACCATAGGTACATGGATTCTTTCTAATCTTATAGAATTAGGGAAGAACGTATTTCATCTCTACAAGCTATGATAGACTTTAAATTTGAATACCTCCCGATTCTTAGAACATGGAAGTTTGATAAACTGTTTTCTCTTAGACCTGTCGTCTTTCATCAATTAGTTCGTATTTTCTATTCTAATGTGGTCTGTATTCAAAACAAAACTCAATATGGAACTATAGGAATTAGATCCTACCTTTTAGGACAATATATTCTTATTGATTCTGCAACTATAGCTTCAAAATTTGGGTTAGATGACAATGGTGTATATGACGAAAAAGAAACTGTGGAATATCCATATCTCCCAAACACTAGTATTAGTACCCTTCGATCTCATCACGATCGTTTTCTTCATTTAATGATCTCGTGATGGTTTTGACCATCCGCTGGTAGGTACTCCACTCTTCGTGCTAGGGATTTATGGTGGATATATTGTATTAAGAATAAGATCAAAATAAATCTTCCACATATTATCTTTAGTGTGCTAGTCGATACCGTAAACATTATCCCATCCAAACATGTTGAAATATTAGTTTATGGTTGTCTTCTTAGCAATCTCTTTATCAAACTCGGTCTGGATGTCTCTCTTGACAATCCTATTCCTCTCCAAAACCCAATCAATCTCACATCCTTGAAGAAAGTGGATTGGAAACAAGACGAGGTAATTAGTCAATGGGTTTTTAGACCCGGTAAGCAAACTCTGGGAGCTAGTTCCTCACGAGCTGCTCCTAGCTCCTTCTCCTCCTCCTCCGGCTCCGGCTACTGATGATGATCCTGAATTTCAACAGCTTATGCAAGACATCGATGATCACGTACCCAATGACGAGCCTGCACCGGAACCAGCTCCACAAGAGGATCAAATGCCTCCATATTTTCGTTCGTTTTTGGAGACATTTGATATACGGTATGCTTCCATCGAATCTCACTTGACTGCTACTCATGAAGCAGTAAATCAACGCTTAGACACTTTGGAAGCTCGTCATATGGAGTTTCAAAGGGAGATGCTTGCACGCATGGATGCTCTCTCTCTTGAGATGCAAGCCCGATTTCCTCCTCCGCCTCCCGATCCTTCTATGAATGACTATACTTATTTTATTTTGATTGTATTTGGGATTAAAACTTAAAACTTGGATTGTTAAAACATTTTGTTGTTTTTGAATTGTTTAACTAATGTTGGATGTTTGAACTTTTTATTTATTTTGTATTATTGATATCTTAGTTGCATTATGACCAATTTACCATTTCACATTTGATTTGAATATTGATTATGAACACTAATGGCTAACCTCTCTTTTGATCTTTGATCTTAGCAGCTTAAGCTATATTCAATTAAAATGTTTAATCAATTGGATATATTTTTCAAAGCCTTCTTTCACTCAGTTTTTGAGTATTTTTGATTTAACAAAAAAGGGGAGAAGTTTTAAGTGTTATAGTAAGGGGGAGTAATTTCAAAATTGATTTCAAAACTTATTTTCAAAGAAAATCTTAAAATTACTCAAGAGTTTTGTTATATAAAAAAAGGGGAGATTGTTGAAAATATTTTGATATTTCGATATAACAAACTAAGTTTAAATGAATTTTAAGAATTTACAAATGATTTTCTAAAGTATATTCGATTCAATTAATCGAATATCAAATTATTACTCCAAGTCTTTCAAGATCATTTCAAACCTTACTAAATGTGTAAAATTGTGTTTTATACTTAAACTATTTTTGAAACAATTTTCACAAAGTCTTTTGAACCAAAATCAAGCCTAAAATCAAATTTTCAAAGTGATGCACCAATCCATGCATCGATGCACCATGGAATTAATTGAACATCTAATGTATTTTATGAATCGATGCACGTACCATGCATCGATGCACAAGACCATGCATCGATGCACTCAGGCTATTTCAAAACATCGAATGCATTTTATACATCGATGCACCGAGAGTCCAATGGTCAAAATATTTGAATTTTACACTTGATGCACCGATGCACCTAGGGTATGCATCGATGCATGAGACGCTCCCAACCACTAATATTAATTATTTTCACACTTAAACGGCTCTATTGACTCCACTAAGCATCCCCAACGTTCAGAATCATTTGAAGGTGTATTTAAACAAGCTTAGAAGCCATTGATCAAAAACAAGAAACAATAATCAACTAGAATCAAGAGAGAATCAAAGAGAAAGCATCAAACCTCAAGTTTGAGCATTCCAAGCTTATTTTTCATTCAATATTCATTTTGCTTTCAAGAACACTACTTGTACTCAATTGTATTAATTTTTTAGTGTTCTTTTCTTTGTTCTAGAATTGTGCAAACATTCTACCTTGTGAGGATTTCCTTGTAAGTTTGCAAATTTGTAATATTCTCTTTGAGAAAGAGTGTTCTCAAGAATTGAGGTATATTCTTGAGGGAGTTGTAAGGTTATCTCTTTGGCCTCAAAAGAAAGAACAAATTAGTGAATTTGTTGGAAAATCCTTAGTGTGGATAGCTAAGGTAGTGGACGTAGACTTTGATTGAGAAAGTCGAACCACTCTAAATCGTTGTGCAATTACTTTCAATTTTCTGCAAAAGTTTCCACCAAAATTTTAATTGCCAATTCACCCCCTCTTGGTCGCTTCCATCGATCGATTAACTCAACAATATTATAATAATATATGATACTATTATATTCTTATTTTAATAATATATAATAAATTATTAATAAAAGTTATATTATTTATGAATTTCTTAAAAATAATATTATTGAATTTTTAATAGTGAATACTTTTATTTATGTATTTAATATTAATATAATAGTCTAATAATATTATAAAAATTCCTTAAAATATATTTATTAATAATTTTAAAATATAATATAATATTTATATTTTTATAGATATTCAATATAATTTATCATATTTTTATTTTAATAGAATATACAATAGTTAATATTTTTATTTATAAAATTATAGAAATAATATTTTAATAATAATATTGGCATAAATAGTATTAAATAAATTATTCTAATATTTTTAAAATAATAATATTAAGTTTTTATAATAAATAATATTATTTATTATATTTTATATTTGCAATAAATAATTTCTAAAAAATTTATCAACTTGTGAAAAATGGTTTACACAACATCTTCCAAACACCATAAAATATTTTTCAGTAAATGTTTTTGAAAAGATATAATACATTTTACTAACTTTATTTTGGCATTGTCTTGCAATTTTTCAAGACACATTTTGAAGATTAAATAAGGAAGGAAACTAAAAGATTAATTGCACTAAACATCTTATGAAAGTGACATAGATTGTAAATTGACCTCAAATTATAAAATATTTTAATTAAGCCATCAAAATATCAGTATTATATGAATCATATCATTCTATTAACTTAGTTGTCGGACCTATGTTAAATACCTATTCAAATATGACACGAAACACGTACATAAATTAATATAAAGAAATTCGGATTTCAGAAAAATTTTTTAGAGTAGACACATATGCATTAATAACGAAAATTTTTCGTATGAGTTAGTAAAATGAACAACTAACCTAAAAAAAATTAGATTGCAGAATGAGCACGCGCCGCCCTAGGTTCAATATACATCCGCCACTGTAAATCAAAGTTTAAAGACGTGTATATGTATTGTATGAATAGTTTGTTATTATGTATTAAATAATTAAATTGCTTGCTTTAAACATGCTTCACATAAGGTCCGAACTAACATTAATCTCTCAAGTTGGCATCTAAACTAATGGAAATATTTAATTGATTCAATACTGATACTTTGAGGATATAATTAAAACATTTCAAAGTTTAGGGACTAATTTAAAATATAATTCATAGTATAAGGATGTACAATGAAATTAAACCGAAGCTAAAATATTTTTTCGTGGGAGTGACCGCGTGAAGGACTGAAATGCAAATCTTGGCGGCGAAGCCCAAAAAAACAATGACCAGTGGGCGTCTGTGAGGGCGGGCAGTGTTCGAGAGCCCTTTTTTCTTTCTCCAGGTTATTACTTGTTTTACCATCATCCTTTGAGCTTGTTTCTTCAGTTTTTTTGTTTGAATCTTGTAAGCAACTTCCTTGTTTGTAATTACAGCATGATTTGCATCTTTAGATTCTTTTTTCTGCTTTTTTTTTGTGGGGGGGGTGGGGAATGGGTCTCTAAATTTTGAGGTTTGTTGTTGTTGTTGCTTCACTGTGCTATTTTGCTTCTTAGGGTTTCCATGGGGGTTTCCTTTCAGTTTTTGGGTGCTATATAGCTTGTGATGTGGATTTGAATTAGGTGGGATTAGGTTTTTGTTTATACATATAGAAAGAAACAATGGGTTTTGCTTCATTTGAAGTGGAATTGCTAGTTTATATGTTTTATGCAACCCAAGTATGTACCCCTAGTTGAGCTTCTTTCATATGCTAAGGCATTCTTTGTACCATATGGGACGGTAAAGGAGGCTTATGTTTGATCCCAGATCATGTAATTGAATGTCATGCAAATTGCTAAGAGCGTAAGAGCAAGACGATGAGGGAAGAACAAATAATCGGTATTAGTTTCGGTTCTTCGTTTGTTAAGTGCGATGGCTTGTTGCCAGCAAGCCTGTAACTGGCTCTGGTGGCAAGACTTTGTCTGATTTTCAAGTCTGTCGGCACCAAGTCGAGGGTTCCAGCCTTGGGACTGTGAACCCTTCCCCTGTCACGAGTAGTTGTAGGGTTCATAATGCTTGTTCTGTGTTTCTATCACTAGTTAATAAGGTTCGAAAACTGCCAGTTTCCGGTTTTAAGCAGTGTTACTTTTGAAGAGCACACTTCTATTATTAAGAAATCGTATTGAAATCCGAAACAGGACATGTGGTTGTGTTTGTCTGTTTGACCTCACTTGTTTCGACTCCTATTTTCGCAATTAATTCAAGAGCAGGTACACTGTTCCTATTAGAATTTTGAGCATGCCTCAAATTGATCTCAACTAGTTGTGTTATTGTGGTCTCAAAGTCCATATTTTTTTCATCACTCTGGTCTTTAGGTTTCGAAAATATAGACGTAGAATGTAGATTGTGGTGTTTCTGAATTGGTTTTATGTCTAAGATATTGCTGAGAATTTGTGGATACCTTATAATTCAGCATCCAGGTATGATTTTGGTCACTCGAGTATGAATGAAAGTTAAATTTTGAAGAAAAAGTGTAACGTTTAGTTACAACCATTTTGTAGACATGCAATTTGTTTTTCTCGAATGGTTAACTAGTCCTTTTAATCATTTTCAGTCGCTTGATATATACGTATATAACAAGATAAAGGAAATCCGTGTTCGGGATCATTTGATTTCCATCATGTTCAAGAAGACGTCTAGTCGGAACCAAAGATCGAAGGGTATCAGGACGAAACATGTCCTTCAGATTTGTCTGCTACTTGGGGTCTGTTTCTGGTTAATCTACCAGGTCAAGCACTCACATGATAAGAGAAAAGAATTTGATGAGAGAGATGCTAAAGTTTCTGTGAAAGAACAATCCGATGATTTGATCGTAAAGTTTGGCAGGAAAGACCTTCCTCGTGTGCAGGAAGCATCTAAGAACTACAAGCATGAGGAAGACGAGGAAGAAGAAAGTGTAATAGAGGATGAAAATAAGCATGATGAAGAACAGGAAGAGAAACCTAAGAGGCTTGGCGAAGAGGAGCATGAAGGAGCAAGCAAACACGAAGAAGAGGAGCTGGATGAAACAGGCAAACACGAAGAGGAGGAACAGGATGAAGGAAGTAAACATGAAGAGGAGCAGCAGGAAGAAGGAAGCAAACACAATGAAGAAGAGGAGCCAGAAGAAGTGCAGGGAGACGAAGGCAGCAAGCGTGATGACGAAGAGCAAGAAGCTGAAGTTAAGGATGAAGAAGCAGAAGATGAAGGAAAAGGAGATGGAGATGATGAGGTTGATGAAAACGAGCAAGAAAGAGCTGATGCTGAAGTTGGCAATGAAGAAGAATTAATGGATGAGGATAAAGAGAGAGAAGCCGAGGGTGATGATAAGGAGAATGAGGAAAAAGAAAATGATGAAAAAGAGGGTCAAGACGAAAGTGAGCATTCAGCAAATGATCAGAATCTTGATGGAGGTGATAGGGAGGCACACGAGGCGAGGGAGGTGCATTATAAGGCTGATGATGCGTCCAGTGCAGTGTCCCACGACACACAAGTTGTTAGCTCTGAATCTGATAAATTAGAAACGGAAAATTCTGGTGACAACTTAACAAGGAATGTTTTGGAGAAGGAAAGCAAAGCCAATACTACCGAGAAAGCCAATGGTGATGAAAACAAGTCTGAAGCGAAGGATGATGAAGGTAAACACTCTGAAGGTGGTAGTTCCTCTAATAATGATGAAAACAAGTCAGAAGTGAAGGTTGATGAAGGTAAACGCTCCGAAAGTGATAATTCCTTGAATGTCTTTCTTCCAAATACAACAAACACAATTGACTTTGTTGAACAAGCAAGCAGTAACTCTACAGAAGTTAGTAAAGAAACAGGCAACATGGATTCAAAAGCGAACACAGAAATGCCGGGTTCACTGCAGAATGGGACTTCGGCTCAAGGTACAACAGAAGATGGTATGGTTACTGAAGAAAAATATAAAGAGAGAGCCAGGGAGACGACTTCAAATGGTCAGCAGTCTGGTTCCAATACAGTTGATGCACGCAAAATCGAATTGGTAGATTCGATCACCACGGAATCCTCAAATTCAACCGATACGGAGTCTGGCATGTCAGACGATACCCCCAGGATAAAAGCAACAGCCAAAGGGCACAATTCCGAGTCTTCCACGACTAAGGAGAACACAGATTCAACTCAGAATGAGAAACAAGAAGGCGACGATGAATCAAGGGGAGCAGATGAAAGCTCAGACACTTCCATCTCTAATGAGACTGTGAATGGAGGTCACAATGACCCCATTGATTCGACCGACAATTCGCTTTCCCAAGAAGAGAAAGATGCTGCTGTGGATCTTAGCGCATTACCAGATATTACAACAGAAGGGAGCAACAATGAAGATACTGTTGCTGAATGAAAATCTGATCTGTATGGTTGTTCAGTTCTTGTGAAGTGCTTTAAAGCTTGCTATGTTTGCACTATAATTTGATACACGGACGGTGTTTCTAGAGAATACGGTTTCAACCTGGAAGTGGAAATGTAGACTATATATGATGTTGATGCAATCTGTATAATTTATGGCAAGTTCCTTTCTTTCTTCAACTTCAATTTCCCTTTACCGACATGGTTTTTAATGCATGATCGAATCTAGTGAAAGTTCATGATAGCAACCCAGATCAGATTAATGGGTTGTGGCTAGGGATGGACATGGGACCGAACTTAATGGGTTTCGACTCAATTTGTTCGGGTTGGATTTTTTTTTAAAAAAAATAGGGTTCGGGTTAGGTCATTTTTTAAGGTTGTGTTCGAGTTGGGCTGACTTTGGGTTTAGAGTAAAAATATTCGACCCGAAATAATTTATAATTTTACCTTATATATTTAGGAATAATTATAATAAAAAAAAATTTATTTCATGTTAGATTCAAATTTTATCTCAAAAAATCAATTCGGTTGGACCGAAAATTTGAACCTATCCATGAATAATTGCACAAAATAAATAAAAATTATAACTAAATGTCAGAATTGGGATTTGAACCCACGCCCACTCACGAGGACCAGAACTTGATCTGGCGCCTTAGACCAACTCGGCCATCCTGACTTAGCCACTTTGAATTTCTCTTTATATATTAACATAGCAAAGTAAAGTAAACTACAAGTTTAGTACCTCAACTATCTCTTTTATTCTGTTTTGGTCATCTAAGTATTTTTTTCTCAAAATAATGCATAACATTATGTTTTTGTTTCATTTTAAACACAAACTATTAAAAATTTAACCAACTATTGACGTGACATTTTTTTTAATTTTTTTCAAATGATGATGCGACATTTTCTTATGGTGACGTGCCGGCATCACCTTTAATTTTTTAAAGGTGAACGACCAAAATAAAACAAAAACTAAACATTATGTATGATTTTAAAAATATAGTTGGGTGACCACAACGCGAGACACTTAAAATGATAACATTCGTAACGTTAGGCACATACATCGACGGAAAAAATATAGACCGGATCCCGATCTTGACCCCGACCCGAAATCACCGTTGCTTTGTGGGGTTATCGATGGTGTTGTTGCTGTCGTGTCCATGGTTAATTTCCCGCCGTGTTTGGTGCTGATGGTGGAAATGGCGACCGTGGTGGTTGCTTTTGTGGCGGCTGTATCGTCGTGGAAGAGATTTAACCGGTATCCGAGGGCGTCGGTGAAGCCTGGCTCACGCCAAACTTCGAGACGACCCCATGGCTTCCATGTTCCACATCCGGAACGGTGGATCAGCCATGCTCATGGATTGGATCGGGTGACCCTGTCCAATCTAGGAGATGGCACAAACGGTGTCACCATTGATGTCGTTGCTACCGGAGAACCAGAGAGGTTGTGGATCGTAATCGACCATCTTTTTCGTTCTTTAAGAACTGATCTTTATCGGATTTCAAAGAAGGTATCCAATTCCTCGAAAATTTTGATTCCAACAAAGATGACCTAAAAATACATTACGTCCGTAGAATTTTATGTTAGAAATCAATTCTGAGACGAAACTTTATGTTAGAAATTTTATGTTAGAATTTGACAAACCTTGATCCTATGTTCCGGTCGCTTGAGTTTCTGAAACCGAACTTGCAAGTAAAAACTGCCTGTTTAAGAATTCCTTGGACCTGGAAAACCTGAGGACTACACTCAGGCTCTCCACCGAACCGAACACTAATCTCGGGTCCGGTTCGGTTCTAACGGTTAAACTCAACTGGGGAGATGATCCATCCTTGTTGCTTCTATTCCGGCCTATGGTAATCCATCCATTGTATCATCTCAACGGGAACAGTTCTGAAGAAGCCACTAACAACTTCCCCAACAACTTCTTACAAGGCAATCCACAAGTGCTCCCATCAGGACCAGCGTAAACCATGATCGAAACATTACACGACGATGAACCCTTCACGATCCTATCGATCCGAGACTTACCAAGACTAAAACAAGAAGCCACCACCGGTTTCTGCAAAGAAGAAAAAGAGGAAGAACTGTTCCCGTCTTGCTGAAACGGGATCGTAGCCACTTGGTGAGGTAAATTGCTGAGTTTAATACTGCAAAAATATGGAGAAGTAGAAGGGTGGATCCTGAACAGTGAAGTGTTCGTCGATGGTGGGAATTTCAGGGCAAAATTACCCGTCAGGATCCTTACAAAAGGGCAGAGATCCACTTGGTGAGGGAAATTGCTGAGTTTAATACTGCGCACGTACATACGATGAACAATGTTGCCAGGCAGGAGATGGAGATCGATGTTCGAAAACTAGCCATTTCGCTTGTCCTTTTCCCCTTCCAATCTTTGTCGTTTATAGTTAATTGTATGATTAGTTTACATAAAACAATAATTGAACAACATAATGTAATCTTATAGAGGGCATGTTAAAGGAATTGTATGATTAGTTTAATATTGTTTAAGTAAGTCTCGAGTGTAGAAAATTTTCGTTAGAAAACTCACACACTAAAATTAGATGTACGACATAGATCGATCCGAATTAATCAAATGGGAAGCCTTGAAAACAGGAAGACAACTAAAAAAAGATTGTCAAGATTTTTGTCTGTTTCTAGACTACTGTTAGTGAGTGGGTATTTTGGGCTTAAGCCTCATACAAACATTACATTTGGGATAGCTTAGCCTCGTACCGACATCTCCCTTTGGGTTTGTATATCCTTTTCTGATGAATCTTAGGCCCTACCCTCATTTTAACGAGCTGGGGCGGAATTTCATGAGGGCCCAAGAGAGTCTTCTCGCCAATTAATTTTTTAAGTATTAATTTATATTAGAAATATATATATTTTAAAAAAAGATTTATGGGTCTCCTCAATTAAAAAATATTGTTTATAAAAAATAAAAAAAATATTTTAATCCCTTTTATAATAATTTTTTAGTTCCGACCCTGTGAATATTTAACTTCTCATTGTAATCATATGTTAGGTCTAATATCATTTAGTTTTCGTTTGATTCTCAAGTGAAATGTGCATTGGTTATGCTTTAGATCACATGCATACATATTAAATAACTTATATTATTATTTATGTTTTCTTTATAGTTAAAGGGTTTTAATGGTTAAAGTTTGTCGGATTTAATGGGATGGGCATGTGATATGAACTCGATGGGTTTTGACTAGGGATGGCAAAAAAACCCGAATCCGACGTGGAAAATCGAAAATCGAATTAAACGGAGACGGGGAAAAAACTTTATGCTAAACGGGGACGGGGACGGGTTTAGTAATCCCCGACCCGATTACCCGGCCCGATACCCGGCCCGATAAATATTAAAAATAATTATTATATATATATATAATATTAATAAATTTAATTTAAATTAATATATATATATATATTTATATATTTAATTTAAATATATATATACCCGGCCCGATACCCGTTTAAATAACCGTTTATGCTAAACAGTTTTCCCCGTTTCCCCGCGGTTTTCCCCGATTACCCGATGGGGATCCCCGTTTAAATCCCAGCGGTTTTTTAAGCGGGGACGGGTACGAGTTTTTTAAACGGGGACGGGGGGACCAATACCTGGCCCGAACCCAGCCCGTTGCCATCCCTAGTTTTGACTCAACTTGACTCGATTAGGTCGGATTTTTTTTAAAAAATTCTGATTTTGGTCAGTTGGTTTTTTAAGGTTATGCTCGGGTCGGGTTTATGGTGAAAAATATCAGAAACAACATGAAAAAAATTGTATTTTTTACCTTGTATATTTAGTGATAATTGCAATAATACCCTTCTATTTATTATTTTCTTTCAATTAAATTCCTATTTTTCTTAAATAAACTTAATATTTTTTAATAAATATATTATTTCGAGTCGGATCAGGTCGGGTTCGGATTTTATCTCAAAAAATCGGGTCTATTCACGACGGATGGAATGTATGTATTTTTTTGGGTCAGACGGAGGATTTATAATTCTTAACAAGCAAATTGAGTTTATTTATATTATTAAATATTTATCTAGTCATTGTCCTAAGCTATCTTTATTGTACTAATTAAGTTTGTCCGTATGATTAATCCATGATTTTGTAGGTTACCAAAAGCTTCATCCTTTATGTATAATCACCATGCAACTAAATATATGCGTTTGATCTTTGGAGATCATAGAAAGAACATTGATTAAAATGATTCACGTGGGAGCTACAAAATCTTATTACATTGATTCGTGATTGATGAACCTCAGCCACATGATGGAATTAGTAGCATTTAAGGCAAGTTCATCGTCATGGACATGCAAAATATATTCGGACAGCTTAGACAACATTGTCCTCTCAAATGATCCCTCAAAACCAAACGCCAAAGCTTCACCGGAATCTTGCCGGAGCTCTAGTGCCATGGCCGCTCACGGTCGACATGGAGGAGGAACTGTTTTGAAAACTTCTACGTCACCGATGGCTCCTCCCTCGAGTTTTGTTCACAACTCTAAAGATCTCGTTGCCCGAACTCACTTTTACGGATTTCGGGTCATTTTAGATAAAATATTCCACGTTGATATTACAAGACACATCACATATTTTATGTGGCTCTTATTACCATACTAATTCCAAAACCAAATCAAATGCAGACCAAACACACTGTGACAAATCTTTGTCCAAACAAAGGCAACTTGAATCAAATTACTTAGAAGAATGCATGTCCAAATCCAGGAGGACGAGGATGGTATCCTTCGGGATTGGGATTGAATCCTCCGGGTATCATATCGGGAGGAGCATTATATCCCGGTGGCGGCATCATGTTCGGGTCGAAATCGACGTTATTCAGAAACATCCCAGCACTCGAACTCCCCATGAAGAACTGATGGGAACTGGTGGTCTGAATAAGAAGCTTTTCCACTTGCTTTGTCACATTCTTCTTCAACTCCTCTAACACCGATTTCAGCTGCCGGAGGTGCGGCGGACTAAGCTCCTCGACCGGCGCCTCCCACCAGTACTGCCCCTGACTCGATCTTCTCAATCGGCTCAGCTCTTCGCCCCGCTGTTTTTCGACTTCCGTTTGGTTCACCAACTGTGACAAAATCGAGTATTAATCAAACCGACACACACGTAACAAAAAATTAGTCACGGAATTGTGTAACTAGACCTCAGTAAGCTGCATGTTGAGTTCACGAACATGCGCGTTACGATGAGCCTCCATGATATGCAAAGCGCTCGAATTGTCCGGAGGGTTTCCGTTGGCATACCGGTCGATAACATTACCGATCTCCGGATGACCGAAGGAGAAGACTTTGTTCCCCGGAGAAAAAACGATGATACCGATTTCGACACCGCACAGAGTACAAAGCTCACTAGCCTTTTTAAAAAGACCAGAACGTCGTTTCGAGAAGGTCACCTGGAGATTACTATTGTTCTTCATCTTCACCATCTCAACCTTTTGACGGCCTAAGCTCTTCTTCCCCATGATTTCCAGAAATTTGCAGAAAGAAGACAGTGAATTGGAATTGCAATTTACAGGGAAGGAGGAGATTAGTATTTATACGCCGAACAGGACAGGATATCTACACCTTGAGCTGTCCAAATTTACCATGTTTCGTGAACAATTCCTGCTGTGCATTGCTTGAATTTAATTAAATACTATATTATATGTTTACATATATGGAATTAAACCACCCCACCGAATAAATACAAAATATATAATGTAACTCTTCATCGTAGAGTTAAATCACTTTCCCATTTCGTCGTAATGAAAAAAATAATGTATACAACTCAGAATTTTCCGGGAAAATTTTCTTGGTCATAATTTCTTGTGGCATAACACCGTTCTCAAGGCAAAATTGGCCCAATATAATAGGTGGGTTAATTCTTTCGCACAATATAATACGAAGCAAATTATTTAGAGAACTACGATATTTGCTACAGTGAGTTAAAACTCGTCACACCATTTTCAATTCGATTTAGCAAGTTATCTCGAAATACGTGTAAATATTGTTTAGTGAATTAATAGTTTTTTTATGTTTTGATGTATTATTGTGTATTCAGACAACTGTGGGCTGCTTTGTTCGCCCCCTAGCTTGGGTTGAAGTTAGCTAATGAATGGATTCGCTAAATCTGCTGTCTTGTTTGTTGGGTTGATTATGGAGTTTATTGATGTTTTGAGGTTTGCATTTTTGCTCGGACCAATAATTGCTCCAACTTCGAAATGGATTTTTTTTTAATTTAGGAATGTTTTTTAACGAGACTTATTTCGTCGTCTTCGTTTTATGAGTTTATCTCTAATCATACAAAGCACTCTTTTAAAAAAAATTACAGCCACAACGTAGTATAATGGTCGCATCGTAACATTTTTCAAGGTCACCATGACAGTGCAACCGCAATATAAAATCATAGTTATTTTTAAGAAATAAATCATGTCGTAACATCTACAACACCTGAAACTGTGACACCATGATAGCAACCGCAATTACAACCACGAATGTAATTTAGTACTATGGTAGGACCTAGTACGATCGATCTTGAAAAACGTAAAGCTTAGACGATATTGATTAGTTGATTTAGAAGTGTCCCATTGACCCGAATGATTTATTTAATACTTACATGTCATTTTATTGTATGATGTTATATGTAAGTATGTTCGTATTCCGAATAAGTTTAGTGGTGATATGTCTGATTTTTTTATTATTATTATTGTATCACTTTTAATTCATGTATTGATGTAATTTGTCGGAGATATCCCCATTTTGATTTTGTTTCTGATTGAGATCTTCTTCGGAGGACAGTATTCCCATCTTGATTTCTGTATTTTGATTTGGGTACCTCTTCGAAAAGTAACGTCCGCATCCTATTTTTTCTGCGACGAAAGGTAAAGTTATGTGAATTTTATTACTACAAGTTATACAAATTTTATGAGAACCTGAACTTTACTTTTGGGTTGTACAAATTTATTACTACTACAAGTTATAAACTGAATTTTGTTTTGGAACTTTGGTGTTTGACAGTAAATTTAAAAGTACAAATGACTTCCAATAATTTAAAATGTGTGATCTCCGAGATTTGACCGTAACGTCTAGGATGAGTTTAGGTGATTATAAAAATAAATTCAAAACAAATGTGTAATTGAAGAAATTACATGTTAGATCGAAATTAGTTTAAATTTAATTTTAGTGTATAAAAAATTAGGTCAAATCAAGTATCAGATCGTGACCATATTGGATTGGTCAATTTTTGGGTCGAATCAATATTGAATCGACTAATTTTTCAGGTAGAGTCAATTCGGATCGAGTCATTTTAGGCTTGGATTACATTTGATTTAGGTTCGATTTTGGTCGAATCTTATCTGATTCATATTTAGTTCAAGTCTATGAAGGTCAGATCAAGTCAAATATCAGATTAGGTCACTATCGGTTCATGTTAATTTTGAGCTAATTCGGTATCAGATTATTCATTTTTTCAGGTTAAGTCAACATTTGAATTTTTGATCAATTTGGATTGAGCTAGATATGAGTCCAACCAAGTACATATAAAGTATTGATATGTTATCATTAAAAAGACATATATTTATTAATCTTATCATTTTGGTCTAATTTTAACTCTCAATCGTTTAATATTTGAAATTCAACTATCATTAGAATGGCAATTGGACTCGAACATAACTTTTTAGGGCATTTAAAGTTAATAACATGAATTTTGTATTGTAACACATCAATATCACCACTAATTTTTTAATGACGGATGACCAAAATAAGATCAAAATGTGGTATTAGGTATGATTATTAAAACTTTAAGAATTTAATTACGATAATATAAAACTTAAACCATGATTAAGTGACCTATAATGCAATTAACCCCTAATTTTATTTGCACTAGTGTTTTGCTTCTTCACGTCAAATAAGAACACGGAATTGTATTGGCTGTCAACTTCTATATATTTTCTTTTTCTCCAAGCACAAATCTTCTTCATAGTCCTTCTCTACTGCTGCTACTGTATTTATCTTCTCCTATCTATATTTTCGCGGCAAAAGAAGTAAAGTAAAATTCTAGGGTTTTGAATTTCATTGATCAATTCAAAGTTTCAAGAAATTATTTTTGCAAGTAGTTGTTTATGATCGTCGCTTGATTTTGCTTGGTAAAAGTTTATTTTGTTGAACAAGAAGAATTGTAATAACTAAATAGAATTGGAATCGTTTTGATTAATCGATTGGTCGATGGAAGACTACTTGAGCGACGGTGAGGATTATTACTGTTCGTCCGATCAGTACTCCCTCGACGGTCTCGACAATGTAGACTCCGATTGCCAGGGGTCTGCTTCCAAGAGTCCCACTTCCAAGGTCAAATTTGTCTCTCTCTCTCTCTTTTCGAGATTATTAAAAAGTTCAAGTTTTGTTCAATCTGTCGTTTCAATTTCCTGAATTGATTATTATTTTTTGGTTCCGTTTTCAGTGTAAATGTGCTCTCTTTTTGCTTTACCTTCTAACAGAACAGGGTTTTGATGTTGAATTAGTCGCGGATCACTGTCGATTGTGGGTTTTTATAATTTATTTTTTATTGTTCGCTTTCTGGGTTTTGATGGGTAAGAGTAATGCTGACAATGGTTCTGGGTTTTTGGGTTGTGATGGGTAAGAGTAATGCTGACAATGGTCGAAATTATGGGTTCTTTTCCCTGTTCTATTTGTTGTTTATAACTTCTCGCTTGTGTTTTCTACTTTTCATTACTAAACGGCAATGTGTGCATTGAAACGTTTACCCTGAATAATCCAGGCTTTAATCTTAATGGAAAAACGATCAGGATTCATGGAGTCTATGATGTCTTATATTTTTTGTTTCTTTTTGTGCCTCTGTTCACTTAATTGTGAGATTTTGACCCCTTTTTTGGCATTATGCAGGTTATTACAAAAGAATCACTTTTAGCTGCGCAGGTAAAAATTTATTTTCTTTCATTCTTCTTGTGTTTCCTATGCATGTGTTGTTTATGTGTTTCAATGAACGAATTGATTGTTTTGGTTTCTGGCTAGGGAGAGGATTTACGGAGAGTGATGGACATGCTATCTATAAGGGAGCACCATGCGCGGTCTTTACTAATCCATTACCGGTGGGATGTCGAGAAGTTACTTGCCGTGCTCGTGGAGAAAGGAAAAACCGACTTGTTTGCCTCGGCAGGTGTTTCCGTTGTCGAGGTTGCAGGAACCGCGTTGTCATTGTCATCTACATCAACGTGTGACATATGTATGGAGGAGTTAGCTGCTGACGAGATGACCAAGATGGAATGTGGCCATGGCTTTTGCAACGGCTGTAATCATTCTACTTATTCTTGATTTTCTTATTGAAGCATCACCATACTGCATCGGGTTTTTTTTCTTCGTGTGTGCGTAAAGCTATTGAATTTGTATCAGCTTGTATGTCAAGTCTTTTGAGTTGATTTCCGAACTCTTTGTTTTCCAGGTTGGACGGAGCATTTTGTTGTGAAAATTAATGAAGGTCAGAGTAGGCGCATTAGGTGCATGGCACACAAATGCAATGATATTTGTGACGAGGCTGTAGTGAGAAATCTAGTTGGTAAAATGCATCCCGATCTAGCAGAGAAATTCAATCGTTTTCTTCTCGAGTCTTACATAGAAGATAATAAGATGGTTAAATGGTGCCCTAGTACTCCTCATTGTGGAAATGCAATACGCATCGAGGATGATGCATTATGTGAGGTAGAGTGTTCTTGTGGTCGGCAGTTTTGTTTCAGTTGCTTATCGGAACCACACTCACCGTGTTCGTGTATGATGTGGGAGCTTTGGTCTAATAAGTGCCTAGATGCGTCTGAAACGGTAAATTGGATCACTGTTAATACAAAACCCTGCCCAAACTGTGAGAAACCTGTGGAGAAGAATGGTGGATGTAATCATGTGAGTTGTATCTGCGGTCAAGCATTTTGGTGAGTTTTGCTTTTTCTAATTTCAATCTGCAGATTATTCTAAATGCTTTCATCGTGTAATTGTTATAACTAATTATTTCTCAAGAATCAGCTGTTGGTTTCCGGAACTTGATGTTCGTTTAAATAAAAGCTCTTGAACCTGCACAACTTGAGCATCGGTTTTTTTTCTTCGAACTAAGTACTTGTCGTATTTTCTTATTCTACATGGTTTACACAATGTCGAGCATGAATTACATGAAATTGTTTTTCTAAGTTTTGCATTATTTTGGTCACATTTTACATGATTTATTCTCTGTTGTCACAACAATGCAGTTGGCTGTGTGGGGAAGCTACTGGGAAGCGTCATAATTGGACAAGTATTTATGGTCACAGCTGTGGTAGCTACAAAGAAGACCTAGAAAAGAAGACTGAACAAGCGAAGCGTGATCTCCATCGATACACGCACTATCATGACCGTTATAAAGCTCATACAGATTCTTTTAAGCTCGAGGGTAAACTCAGGGAGACTATGTTGGAGAAGATATCGATTTCGGAAGAAAAGGAGTGGAGGCTTAGAGATTTCAGCTGGGTAAATAATGGACTCTACAGACTTTTCAGATCAAGGCGGATTCTTTCATATTCGTACCCATTTGCATTCTACATGTTTGGGGAAGAATTATTCATGGATGACATGACAAATGAGGAAAGGCAAATAAAACAGAATCTATTTGAGGATCAGCAACAGCAACTTGAGGCAAATGTTGAGAAACTCTCAATGATTTTGGAAGAGCCCTTTGATAAATACGCTGATGATAAAGTTATGGAGATAAGACTGCAAGTGATTAATCTTTCCGCCATCACCGATTTCCTTTGCAAGAAAATGTAAGTACAGCTGGTATATATGAAGTAGTAATTGATGTTGAAGATAATTTTTCAAATCCATGTGCTGAGCATGAGACTATGGCTTGCAGGTATGAATGCATTGAGAATGAACTATTGGGATCTCTCCAATGTGCGACACATAATATAGCTCCGTACATATCTGAGGGCATCGAGAAAGCATCCGAGCTTGATGTCTGTTGGAACAGTGAAGCCGGTACTACTATTGAGAAATCTGTTTCATCCGATTGTGGCACGAGTGGTATGTGTATACTTTAGTATTTGTACAGCAGAGCACTTGCACTTGCACATATACTTCGAAGGTTATTAAAGACACATTACGGTTCAGTCAAACATGACCGACCTTTCAACTTATGGAGTTCGGAAGGCAGTGGTTATCGATCACAGAAGCGACCTAAAAAGTAGAGTTAAGGTGCTCTTTGAGTTGCAGCAGCTGAAGTTCTTGATAGGATTGATCTCATAGTGTTTTTTCTTTGTCATACAGATGTAATTAGAGCATCTTATTATGTCTAATGAGAATTTATCTTTTATAGATTGAGCGCCAATAAAATGCTTCATTTTGCCTGCTCACATGTTGTGCTTCATTGTCTTTGCATTGCAACTGTGATTACACTTTTATTTTTACTTGAAATTAATATATAATTAATAATTGATTTTTTAAGAAAATAACATCAACTACCGGATGATGTCAGATCTAATGGTATGTGTACAGCCTCTTTGATAAGTACCAGCTGCAATATATGAGCTTTTTTCACACGAGATAGTGCAGTACTAGCTTTAATGGCGAGTGAGCATAGTTCTTGAAGGGAAAGTGGTGCTTCAGGTTTCGACTGTGACATGAGAAAATAGATTTGATCCAGCTGAAGTTGTTCATCTTCATGCACGTGAGGCAGGCGCGAGTTTACGTGCATGAGCTCGGAGTTGCAGAGGAAACAGTTTGGACTCCGGGAGAGAACAAAGCCGGCTTTGATCGGTTGCCTGAACTCCTCGAGCTTTCCGTCTCGGTGTATTATTTTGGCGGCGGGCGCGGACGGTTCAGGCAACTGTCTCCCATTGCAGTGTATTGAGAAGGTAAACAAATCCCCATTATTGCAGCGTGCTCTCTTCAAAGAGAGTAACAGAGATGGAGAACTTTGAATGAAGATTAGAGACGAAAGGAGAGTGGATGAAAGATTTGTGGCATTGAGATTTATAAAGAGGAAGAAAAGCGACGGCTGAGTCTATTATTTGTTAAGAGATTTGACTTTTTCAGTCCTATTTTAATTTCACATAATTTGATCCTAAAAATTAATAAGTTTTACATTAATTTATAGCCATTAGATTTAATTAAAATTTATAATTCATAAATAAATATTTTTTAAGTCCCAGCAAAACAATAACTTTTTTACCTCAATACCAAATCCTAAAACCCTAAACCCTAAAACTCTAAATCCAAACCTAAAATCTCAAACTCTAAACCCTAAACCCTAAACCCAAACCCCAAACCATAGCCATTTAATCCTGAAAATAAATCCTAAATCTTAGCCTAAAAAAGAAAAAAAAAATATTATTTTGCCATTAGTTAAAGAAATATTTAATTATGAGTTATAAATGTTAATTAAATCTAAGTCATTTATCTTTTTAAATCCAATGACTCTAAAGTAATATAAAATTTATTAGTTTTACATAATGTAAGTAGATCCTAACCCACTGTATAAAATAACATATGTTTACAAACAATTGAACAAACTTCCTGATTTTCATCAAGTACAAAGTGGACTAACTTCTCAATTTTTTGTAAAATAGAAGGATGAATTTCAGAATTAGACCCAAATCTAGACTAACTAATAATGAAAATCATGTCAAATCATAGGGACTAAATATTAAATTTTAGCACAATGAAGGTACCAAAACCAAAATTTGACCTTCCAATAAGATCGTGGAGAAAGTAATGGGGTAAAGTACACTGAAGGTCACTAAACTACATTGGTATAATCTTTTTTACTCTTTAACTTTTAAAAACTACAACATTCAGATAAAATTTGATGACCATTTCATAATAATTCAATAAATTTAATGATCATTTTGTAACATCACAATGATCATTGTATAATAAGTTGATAGTTTAATAACTATTTTTATAATTTTTGAAAATTCACTAGTTAAAAATATCATTTTAACATAATTTAGTGATCTTAAGTGTACTTTACCAAAAACAATAAGTCTCTAGTTTAGTGGGAGGTTAAGTTTGAAAGGAAAGATCATGAAATGGGGCAAGGTATTGAGGATATATATATAGAAAGAGTGTGTGGGCAGTCGCATTTAAAATTTTAAAATTATTATATATTTTAGATTTTTTATGTATTTTCTATTAAAAAATTATTTTATGGTAAAAAATACCCGACCTAACCCGAAAAATAATATAATTTTATTTATATTCAAAGATACTAGATACTTATTTTATTGAATAAAATTAATAATTTTTATAAATATATTTATTTCGATTCGGGTGGAGGAGATTTTTTTTTTCAAGTTGAGTAGGGTTGATCGAAAACTCGACCCGCTCATATCCATCCCTAGCTACAATGAATGGCTCCATCCCTTGTTGTCAGTTAGTTTAAAGGACGAGACGATGTTACGAGTATGGTTGACTTGAATATTTTACTCCTCTACTTGTTATCTGATCCGACTTAAGTATAGGAAATTGTTCGATTTAAAATCTCTTTATTTTCAAATAAAAATTAGTAGTTGATCCAAATCAAAAACATATTCAATTATTAAACTTGAATCATATCTAAACTAAATTAATAAATGATTAATTAAATATGGGTAGTTATAGTAATCATGACTCTTAGTGTTAATGTCAGTCATAGACACGTGATGGAGTTATTAAACTTGACAACGACACCAAGGGTCATTATAAATTTTTTTAATCAAAATCAAGAGAAGGATTTAGAGCCATTTTCCACCAAGTTCTCTCTCTCATTCTTCATGGAAACATAGAATCATGACACCAATCGATCAGCGTTTAATCACTAGCTGCGATTCGCCCCTAATCAAAAGAAATGAACCATCAATCATCGATAAAAAGTCTTTTAAGAATCCATAGTTTGAGGATGTTTAACTGAAGTAATCCATCATAAAATGTAACAGATGAGTTTATATTTTGACGAAGTCTCATAATTCATAATGAGTTTGTCTATACCTTAAAGCACACAGATATGTTAATACAATGAATACATCAATATATAAATTTGCCTTGTATTTCGTTCTATTTTTGTAAGGTTGTAAATAAGTCGAGTTTGAACAGATAAAGTTTCATTTGTGCTTGTTTGATTCGTATTCATTTAAATTTTTAAAATTGTATTCGTGATTAGTGTTTGTGGACATATTCGTTTAATGTTCACAAACATGTTTGTTTAATATTCGACGGCCACTGCTATCTTTTTATTCTTTTATTTGCAAGCCAATAAAAAATGGTAAAATTATGTCACTGCTCCTTAAACTACTTAGGGTTCATGGTTTAAACTATAAAATTCATCATATATTAAAATTAGAATAGAAAAAGAAAACCCAATAAACGAACTTATAAACATATCAATAAACGAGTTTATAAACGAACCGAACACATTGAATAATTCACGATCAGTTCATCGAATATTCTGCGTGAGCTAACAAGAAATGAGAAACAAAGAAGCAAAAAGTCAAATTGCTCAATTAATTTGTTAACCTTGGGTTACAAGCTACAGTGTTTTCATTCATTTTTCAACAGGGGAGGGGACCCTACGCCCTTTAAAAGACATTCTTGGGGGATAAGCATGTGATGTTTAATAAAACATTTAAGTTACACAACACATTAAGACATGTAATGAACAAATCAAATAATCCAAACATATTTTCGAAAATTATAAAATATCCTTTTTTTGCTGAGCTGGCTTTGGTTAAAAATGCTCTTTTTCTACACGTGGCACCGTCCACACCAACCAAAAGTTGCCTTCAAGGTTAGGTTTGGTTCACGAACCAATCACGAAAGGACCGGACCACTAATCAACAGAGCCCCCACGGCTGCGCCTGGGAATCTTCCATCTTTTGTCTGACCTTTTTGACTTTGACGTTTAACTGTTAAGGTAACCTTGTTTAATCTCCTTCATGTCCGACTCGTGTTCAGACACGCGCCACAACTTGACGTACTTATCGAGGCTGCCACTGTAAACAATCCATTTCCGGTCAGTCTTGGTCGATGTCCGATCGTCTTTTTCGACTGCGAGGCATTTTACGGGACCCGTGTGACCGGTTAAAACCGAGAGGCACTTGTGGACACAGCCTTGTTGCCTTCTCCACACGCATATGCTCCTATCGGCCGAGCCGCTGAACACCAAATTGCCGACGTGGCCAAGCAGAGGACAGCCATTTTATGGCCCCTTAAGATCCCACCATGCGAAAGGTGCTTTTCACGTTCCCAGAAGTTGACGAGACCGTCCGACGAACCACAGTAGACCACACCCGATCCTCCGTTCACGGACAATGCAGTCACCGCGTTCTCTTGCTTCAACAACGATTGAACCAAGAAATGCTTCGCCCCTTTTCCTTGTAACTCTCTTTTCCACACCTTCACCGTGCCGTCCGCCGATCCCGTGAACACCAAACCGTCGAATCCGGCAACCACGGAATTGATCGCATCGTCGTGGGCGTCGATGGATTCCAAACACTTCGAGTTCGCCAGCCGCCAGACTTTCAAAGTTTTATCCCATGAACCTGAATATAACAGGCCCAGTTCTTCATTCAAGCTCAAGCATGAGACCGCGTCGAAGTGTTTTATTCGTAGAACACTTCGGTTTCTCCGAACTTCAACGTAGTTCTTAGGTTTAACCGAGCTTCTAACAACGTCTTTCCACGTCGGCAGAGTACCGAATCTTTTATGAACACCGGCGTTCGTCGTTGAAATCTTCCAGACCCGGATTTTACCATCTTGATGACCGGTGAACACCAAATCACCCACTATAACAATGGCCTTAACCAGCCCGCTTCTAGCTTTAAAACCCGAGAACTCGTTCAAGTTCTTCCACACACGGATGTTCTTGCTGTCGGAGCCCGTATACAGCAAATCTCCATACGCAGCTAAAGAGTAAACATGACCTTCTTCTCTTAAAATAGACGCGATAAGCCCGTCCTGGCCAAAATCCGTCTCGAGCACCGACGCCGTGATCCATGGAGATTTAGTATAGGGAGAAGCCTCGTCCCACGGAGACATGGTGTAATTGTAAGGAGAACCCTCGCCGATCGTCATCGTGCTGTTGGAATACCTCGGACTGGCCGTAGACGCACTGCTTTTCCGATGAGGGAGCTCGTCTTCAAAATCGAAGTTATTGTTAAAAGAGAACAAACAAGGTTCGGATTGTCTGAAGAGAGTTCCCAGATTTGGTCGGCTGCTTCGTTGCTCCATTATAATCGTTCCGCCCTTATCGTTTCTCATCTACT